GAGCGTGGGCGGAGTGGCCTGTTGGCAGTCAAGGGGAGAATCAGCTGTACCACTTTGCGAACTACAACTTCACTCTTGTGGCGACGGTGTCCATCGATGGTGTGCCGAAGGAGGGTAATATTCCAGTGATGGGTGCGATATTGAAGGATGCAGAGAATCCAGTACTCCTGGGACTGTCGTACAACAATAAAGAGAAAAAGTGGACATTATTGTGTGGTGACGGAAAGGTGATTAAGGAGCACAGCAGTACTTGGGAGACACGGACGGATAGTACACAGTACCGAGTGGCCATTGTGCTGCAGAACGGCACTCAGGGCTCCGCGTACGTCGATGGTAGGCGTGTGGGTGAGCCATGTAAATTGGAAGGTAAGGAAGATAGAAAGATCTCCCACTTCTACATTGGAGGGGATGGAGTCAATGCAGGGAACACAGAGAGCCAAGGAGGCGTGTCTGTGACTGTGACGAACGTCCTGCTGTACAACCGCCCGTTGAGTTCGGAAGAGATTACTGCCCTTAACACAAAACTTTCTATTCCAAAAGCAAGAGACGAAAAAGCAGTGAAGGAGGTTACTCCTCCACCAGAGGCAAGTGAACCAGTTACACTGGAAACCGGAACTTTGTCTATTCTTGGCGAGCAACAGCAGAACAAACAGGATCCGTTGAGGAAAAGTGAAAATGCGGGCAGTGGTGGTTTATTCGCGTCAGGGCTACCTACTGCTACGACTTCCCCAGCAGCCAAAGAGTCCGAAAAACAGTCAGCGTCGGGAGCATCTCCCAGTGGAAACAAAAATGTGGATGGTACTTCCTCGTCTGACGCCGACCCAACGGTGGTAACAGGGAGTGGAGATAAGATTCAGGGAGATGGATCACCCCAAACTCCTGAGGTGAGCGTGAGCTCTGGTGCGGATGGGGAGACGACGGGAAGAACGGATGCGCAGGGAGAGGAGGGAATCCATCCACAGGCCGGGGAAGTAAAGTCTGCGGCACTCAGCAGCAGCCTCGGAAATTTGTCGCAGGGGAATAACAGCGATGCGTGTACTGTGCGTGAGAGGAGGGTGCTGCAGCTGCCATCGCTTCTTCTGTTGGGACTGTGGGGGTTTGCGACTCAGTGAGGGGTGATTGGATGCCGCGTGGGGCAATTCCGACCTCCCCAGCAGAGAAATACTATTCCCATGGGAAAAAATTTCACTCATACATCCTTTTTTGCGTGTTTTAAAATTCTTTTACTGTTTGCTACTTTTTGGTTGATTTTACTTTTTTTAATCTCTTATTCCTTCCCTTCTTTCTTTTTTTGCTTTTGGGGCAACCACTATGGACGTTCTTTTCTACTCTTCCCTCTTTAATTGTTTGTTGCTGCACTCCTCCTGTGAGGGGTGCCGTGTGGTTCCCGCCCAACTGCTCCACTCGCACACCCACCGACACGCTCATGACGACGGCCCTGTGCGCCTCGTCTGCTGCACGCATGAGGAGGGGCCGCGACGGACGGCGCGCTGAGGGAGCCGTGACGTGTGGGCGTGCGACGAGGGCCTGTGGGGCGGTGCACACATTTCTTCCCTCTTGTTTTGTTTTCTTGCGGCCAGGGCGGGCAGACACCCGCAGCGCCACACACACAGCCACACCCTGCCGCCGTGTTTTTCTTTAAGGATTTGTTTTTTTTTTTTTTGATGTTTTTTGCTTTGCGCCGGCAGTCCCTTCGGGGTCTGTCTTGTGAGCATTTATTTTCCCATCCTGATGTTTTTTTTTTTTTGCTGCGCTCACTCTCCCGATGGGGTGACGCGACTGCCGTCGTGTCTGCGTGCTTCTCTCAGTCCCCACACACACGAGTGACTGTGCTCTGCGGGCCGCACTCACGCGCCGATGGGAGGGCTGAGGGGAGCAGCAACACGCAGATGACCCCGTGAAATATAAACGATGTGCGGACACGCAGAGGGTCGGACGGTTGAAAGACATTTAAATATCTTTTAATTTTATTTTGTGGGCAAAATATGCAGACAGTTTGGTGTGGCCGCACGGCTGCCGGAAGCTTTTTAAATTTGTGTGGAACAGTAATGGACGACTTCTTTTCATTTATAATTATTTTGTGTGGTGGGGTTTGTATAAGACGAAGGGGGACGTTCTTTGTTTTAAATAAGTCTTGTGTGAATTGCTTCTGCTCGGGCTGCAGTACAGTCATGGGTTTGAGCGGTCTTCTTCCTGTTGTTTCCGCCATGCGTCTCCGCTGTACATTTTTAGTTTGTGCGTTTTTACGCATACTCTGCTTCCTCTTTTCTTCTTTGCTTTGCGTTTCTGCAGGCACATACGACCACGCACACAAGATGCACATTGCAGTGGATTTGGATGCTCCTTTTGTAGTGCATGCTGGCGGTTGCGCGTGGCGGCTGTTGTCTTCTTCCGTGGCATGAGGAGAAGGGAGGAGAGGGAGTGCGCAGCCCGAGTCTCCTTTCCTGCGGGTGTGATGCACTGCGTGTGACTGCGTTGAGTTGGGTTCCGTGTCCCATTGAGGGCGGGATGGCTGAAATTTTGTTGCCACGTCATGGATGGATGAGGTTTTGCTTCCGCTTCTGCCTCGTGTGGTGGGTGCTTGCTCCGTGTGCGTTGTGTGGTGGCCGCGGTGCTTTTGCCATTTCTCTGAGACAGCGGGAATGAGCTGGGGGAGATGGTGGTGGATGCCGTCTCGTGGTGTGTGAACTGTGCGGCTGGGCCTGCTGCCCTTTCCTCATTTTGTCTGCTCTCTCGCGCTGCATCCGCTGTGCCCCGTCCCTCTCCCTCTTGTTGCATTCTTTTTCTTCTGTCCCACCGATCAGCTCACCGACTCCAGCGACTCCACCACGGGTGATGATGACGATGGTGACGGTGCGGCACCGTGTTGTTCCTTGCGCTCTCGTGCTGCTGCTGCTCGTCCGTGTGCGTGACGGCGGCTGGGATTCCTGGAGATGTATCTGGTGCTGCGGATGCGGTGGTTGTGCCGGTGGATGTGTCGTGTGCTCCGAGTGACGGCAGCCTGAGCTATCGCGTGTGTGTGTGGCGTGGACGAAGTGTTCCGCTGCCAGTGCTGAGGCTCAGTGTGAGAATTACACTTTCAGTGGCTTTGGTGTGCGCATGCATAGCAGGAATGGTGAGCTGGGTGCTGTGTGTCATGTGCCAATGCGGTGCACACATGTAGCAACTGTGCTGCCAGCTGTGCAACGGAAGAGGAAGAGGCCACCGTTGCCTTCACAGCGAATGTGACGACACACAAATACGCCGGCCCCTATGAATTTTAGTGTCGCCAATTTTCCCCCGATGGAACCATCCATCCGCCTGCACGGAGCGGCGATGCTGACCGGACGGGCATCCGTCAGTTGCCGCCACCCCGTGAAGGGAAGGATGACACAAAATCTGGTGGGACAACTGCACCGCAAGTCAATGCCGAGCCGTCACGTCAAAACGAGGATTGGCGACGGTCTGCGGCGGCTGACGGACCCAACACCGTCGATCCGAGTCCCGCATCCAACACGGCGACCAACACGTCCGAGACGAGGCCTGAGTTTGCCACCAATCTGAATGAAATGATGGTCCCGAATGCGTCCAAGAAGAGGCCTTCTTTTGCCAACGGCCCGAGAATATTAGTGGCGTCGAATGCATCCGGGATCATGTCTGTCACTTGTGGCGGCAGGGAACACGTTGCTGCGGATAACACGGACGAGGTGAATGAGCACGACGCCACTGGACACAAGAATCTCGTTTTAGAAAGTATCGTTGCGGGCAGTGGATTTGTTGCTGAGGGTGATGCGTACGGATTGACACAACGCAATGCCTCTGGACACGATAACAGACCCCAATTACGAGAATTCACCGCGCAGTATTCCGGGAGCGGCGGGAGTCCACACGACTGCTTTGCCCTGCTCAACGACGCGAAATTGACACTGCGAGAGTTAACTGTTGGCGGCACTGTGCGTGTGCGTGTGTGTGTATTGGGTGTTGCTGCTTCTTCTGGGGTTGTGTGGAGTTGTGGCAGTCTTTTGAGCCGAAGAGTGTGGAATTGCGACTCCTCACGGAGAACACGTGCCGCGTTGCATGCGTGTTTTCTTTTATTATTTATATTTTATTTTGTTGGTTTTGTTGTTTTCCTGGAATAATGAAGATCTTTGCTGTTCCTTTATTTAATGGTCGGTTGCTGCACACTGTCACGAGGGACGTGTTTTCCCCTCTTGTTTGCTTTTTGTTGCCCACACGCGGTGCCGGCCTCATTGCTGTGCGTCCCACGGACTGCACGAAAGGAGGAGTGAGGGAGCAGGCCGGATGCCGCGGTGAAGTGTGAAGAGTGTTTTGTGGGCTTACGGAGGTGCACAATCTTTTTTAATTTTATTCAGTGCGGGCAATAAGTATACACAGAAACACATGCTCTTATTTTGCCGCTTGGCGCATAAATTAAAACAACGGCCGCATGAATTTTCTTTATTTTTTTGAGTCCTGCCGGACGCTCAACTCTGTTTTTCCTTGCTCAACTTCTGGCTTGCAGGGAGGTGTGTGCGAGTTCTGCAATTGTGCTGATTCTAACTGCCTCATTTTATTGTGCGTTGCTTGGGTGCTGCCACTTGTTGCTGTGGCGTGGCTGTGTGACTTGTCTCTCTCCTTTTGCTTCCGCTCTCCGCTGAATGGGACTTATTTTGTGCTGAAGGCCACACGCAAGTGACAGGAGTAATGATGGCGATGATGACTGGCCGTGTGCTGCTGGTATGTGCCCTCTGCGTGTGTGGTGCGGTGCCTGCGGTGGGGATGCCGATGGCAGTGCGGTTGAGTATTCGCTCTTGCGGTGGCGCGCTCAGCTGCGGAAGAGATGCGCGGAGGAGGTCGGCAGGAGGACAGGAGGCGAGGCGAATGCGTCCGCCGTTGGGGAATGCCTCCGTCAAGGGATGGACGGTGTGCGTGCCGTTGTGGATGGGCGTCGTCGTTGGAGGCGTCAACACTCTGCCGTGGCTGCAGCTGCTGATGGTGGTTCTGGTAATGATGAGGATCATCGCGAAGAGAAAGACGACAAATTGAAGGGATTGTCTTTTTCAGGCCACACGTTGCAAGCAGAAAAGAAGAATCCAGCAGGAGGACGGGAAGAATTTGCAAAAGTGCCGGGAGGGGAAAATAATTTGAAAGCAGACAAGAGTGAACCAAATTTCGAAAAAGACAAGGCGACCTCAGTCGTCAACCCCGCCAATCCAACTGGAATTCAAGAGTTGGCAGACTTGCCATTGACTGTTGCGGGTGGCAGTCAAAGTCCAAAACACGCTGAGCATGGACTTTTCAACGCCAATTCAAGGCTTGTGGGCGGCGTGTCAAAAGACGGCCAAACAGAAGGTGAAAATGGCAGGGGAAATCAACCACCACCACCACCACCACCACCACCAAAAGAAGGCACAGAAGCGGGGCTCTCAAAGCCTTTAGGATTAACTGCGAAACGGACACCAATTCCAGTGGAAGAAAACTTAAGGCCGCGAGACGGAAGTCACTCACACAAAAGGAGATGCTCCAAACGAAAGATGCTTCAGAGCACGAAGAGGGAGAAACAGTTTCCTCGGGTACACAGCGGAGTGCATCCAAAGAAATTCCAGAAGCCACAACTCCATTATCCGCCTCCAAATCTGGCAGCGGTATTGCCGGAAGCACGGTGGAGAAGGGTGGTGTTAACAATCCTCAACCTCCTGCCGCCTCAGTAACACAACATAATTCCGCGGGAGATACTGGCCCCGCTGCTCTGCCAGCCAGCACCAGTGAATTGCAAGCAGAAGAAATACCAAACGCTGGTATAATTGCCACGACAAATGATGACGACAGCGACAGCAGCCCTGCAGCTTCTACTGCTGAAAGGCCTACCGCTGGCACAAGAAGCACCCCAACCTCTGGTGATGCGAGTGACCTTGAACAGTCTAATAACGACGACGTCAATGATGACGTGGCACACAAGGATAAGACTGTGGAATTTGAAACCGCTTCAGGAGACAGGAACACTGAGGCAGATAATGATGAGAGATACACAACGGTACCAGAAAACGCCACCAATAAAACGAGCAATACAGAGATCACAGCTGACGGTGACAGCAGCACCGCGGTGTCGCACACCACCTCCCCTCTTTTGCTTCTTCTTCTTGTTGCTGCTGCTGCTGCGGCTGCGTGAGAGTGAGGGAGAGAGAGCCGTGCACCGCTCGCACACACACTCGTCCTTCTCTCTCTGTGTGTGTGTCCCCTTGCATGGACTCTCGCCCTCACCTCACCCCACGAAGCACACACAATAATGTGCCCATTGTATATATGCATGCACACCCATGCAGGCCCGTTGGTGCTCTCTTTTGCACGACACGCACCGCTGCCGTCCTGCCTGGCTGCATGGGCGGAGCACCGTAACTGTTTCTGTTTTGTTTTTATTGCATTGAGTGGGCGACCTCTCTCTCTCTCCCTCTGTGTGTGTGTTTTGCTTTACGGGAGTAATGAGAGTGTGTGTGCGCTGGTCGTCCCACGCTGCGGCTTCTTGCTTTGTTGTTTTACTTGTTTTGTGGTTGAGTGCACCCATTCCATAGCTCTTTTTTCGGATCGGTGGCATGCTTTGACGGTGGACGCCTACAATTGTCTTTTTGTGTATTATTATACTGTTCCTTTATTGTTGAGAGAGTGCCAGCCTCTTGTATTCTTGTAGCGCTACTGAGTTTTTTTTTTCTTTGACATGCGCCATGCGTCATTTGATTCATGTTACTCTGCGGCCTGCATTGCTTTTGGTTCTGCTTGTGATGATGTTTGTGCTGTGATTTGTCGGCGGGTGTCTTGCTGTCAGTCTGACTTATCCTTCGTTCCTTGACGATTTGTTGCGTACTGACGGTGCGTGGGCGTCTCTGGTGATAGTGAGGGCCGCATGTCTTGGAGCGCAGGATGCGTCGCGGGTGTGCGGCGTCGTTTGGAGGTACCGATGGGTGACCATCCGCATCCAGGCGTCATCAACGGACTGTGAGGGCAGCAGGAGGCACTGCGGCTTCTTTTGGCTTTGCACAAAGAGTTTATTGGACGGTGCGTTTGTTTTCAATCTTTGCAGCTCTTGTGGGGAAGGTGGGAGGCTGAGTGCATTAGGACTGAATTCATTTGGGTGGCTGCGTTCCGTTGACTTGCGGCCAGTCGTGGCACTCTTTTGGGGTTTGGCGGCTCGTCCCTTTTGTTTACTTCCCACCGCAGCACGTGGAGGCCACTGATCCGAGGAACTTTTGTTTGACTGCGTGTGAGCCGCTGCCGTGCGTGGTGCATGGACTATGTGATTGTGTGGGGAGGTGCATGGAGTGACGAATACTTCTGTTTGGCGTGTCGCGGTGTGTTGGAATGATGTTCGGATGACATGTGAAGGGTGTTGTTTGTGATTTGTGTCTTTTCTGGTGGAGCCGACATGTGTGCGGGGATTGTGGCATTGCTGGCTGACAGCTCCACGTCACTCTTCAGCATTCCTGGATGTGCTGAGGAATGCCGGCTGGCGACCAGCGTGTTTGTGCTGCCGGTGGGAATAAGTGCATCGGGAATAGGCCGTTTTCTTTTTTCCGTGCTGGAGCCGATGAACTGGCACGAGGGCACCGGCTGCGGCTGCCTGCCAGCACGTGTGGGCAGCGGATCCATGCACACACCGACGCTCGTCGCAAGAGCTTGTGCGATCACAGTGGCTTTTGTGGCGTGCTTTTGTGAACGTCGGTCCGTCGAAGAATGTGTGAAGCAAACGGCTGACTGCACACGAGGAAAATAAGTGCGTGCACTGTGCCGTGTTTCGGCGTCGATGGCAGAGCGGCAGGAGGCCCGTGCTGGCAACTGAGATCTTTGCGTCGCGAGGGATGTCGGTGTTGATTTTGGATCGTCGAGGGTGAAGTGATTTTGCTGCTGCCCGTGTGTGTGGCCACTCCGGCAGAGGGCGGACGCAAAAGGGAGGGATGCAGGCGTTGCGTGTGTGTGTGCAGGTGCCATGCAACAACGTCACAACAAACATGCTGCGACTCGGTGACTCTCACATCGTTGTGGTCCTCACGAGCAGCCGAGGCACGGCCCACACCGATGCACTTAGTGGACGGAGTGAGGCATCTTTTGAGGTGCTGCAGGGAGCAGGATGTGTTGACGCAGCCACGACGTGCATGGAGTGTCACGATGGCACAGTGAGCTGTGGCTGGTGGAATATTTGCTTCTCGGAGGCAACAGAGAGAGAGAGAGCTGCTCCTGCTGTTGGCGTCGTTGCTGCCTTTTGTGGCCTCCCATGCCGATTATTGTCTGTCCGCTGATCATGGGTGGCATGCCTCCACTAGTGACGTCGTCTGCAGGCATTTCACAGCAGCAGTGAAACACACATCTCTTCGCATGCTTTGGCTGTGGATGTGGTGTCGTGCATGCAGCCGGCATTATTTTGCCCGACTCCTTTTCACTGCCTTGCGACAAATGGATGCGTCGCCACCCGAGTCATTCACCGCAGCTCCGTGTGCTGTACTGCCAGCACAATACTCTCCTGTTGTCTGACGCCTGGCTGACAGTCAAGCACCACTGCGTTGGGACATGCAAGGATGTGGACTGCCGCTCACGGTGTTGGGCACCGCTGTTTGGATGCGGCGGCCACACGAGCGGATGTATTGTGGCACAATCGAATGCGTGAAATACGCGGAGTCACAGCGGCTGCAATAATATCAGCGGTGTGGCACCACGGAATCTGTGAGGGGGTGATGCATGATGAATCACAGTGGGCGGCATGCGAGGGAAGTGCACCGTGACGGAGCGTCATCCCGCCCCCACCCTGCAGTGGAATGTACGCCCACAAAATATATGGTCGAGGCACCACCAAACACACATGCCCTTCCATGCAGCAATAAATAGGAGCGAAGGTGCGTTCTGGTTTGTGGGGGTCCTCTCACATATTTTCATCTCCACCGCAATCAACGCTGAGGAATCAGGTGCCACAGCGACGAAAGGAAACACAAACATCTATTGCAGCACTTTACCAGCGAAAGGCAGGAACAACACAAACCGAATTATTGGCTGCACCAACACAAGAAACATTCACAAGTGGGAAAACAAATAATTGTGCACCTTGCGGAAATTCTTGAAACACACGATCCAGGCATGAAGGTTTGCTCTCTGCAAAAATGAAAAAAAAAACATGCAGACATCCGCCAACATCCAAACAGAAACACAAATAAATGATTGCTTGCATTATTGCATTCCTTGCGCTTATTTTTACGTGTGCGGCTGTTGCGGTGGTGGCCGGGCCTGCATGAAGTGGTGTGCGCCGAATGTGGACGAAGGCCTACTGCAAATGAACTGCTTGTGGTGAATATTGGCTGCACTTCCCGTGGACCAACAATCCGCGTGGTGTGCGGGGATTTCCTTTTTTATTGTTACTTTGCTTTTGTGTTGCTGTGTGCGCTGCGCCTTCTTGTGTGTGTGTGTACCCTCCGTGAGGGGTGCCGACACGACGGACCGCTCTCGCCGCATGTACATGCGGTGGAGCCTTGTGTGCCGCTCCTGTTTGCTTCTCCCTCTTCCATCTGTGTGTTGGTGTTGCGGCAGGGCTGTGTGTGTGTGCGTGCCTGCTGCCGTGGATTGGAGTGTGTGTTGTGCGTGGTGTGCGGCGTACGGTGCATGCCTGGCTGCTGCCCTCTCCTCATGTGGTGTGCCCTCTGTGTGTGTCTGCCGCACCTCTCGTCTCCCCTGTTGCTCTCCATTTCCCTCACTGTGCAGATCAGCTCCACACCACTGAACGACCACACTCACGATGACGACGTGCCGTTTGCTGTGCGCCCTGTTTGTGCTTGCCCTGTGCTGCTGCCTTTCCGTGTGCGCGACAAAGGCTCAGTTGGAGGATACTGGAAGTCTTGTTGAAGAAGTAGGCGAAATACAGCCGCCTCTTCCAGAACAGACACCTGCTCAGAAAGGTGAAGGGTCGGGCTCGGAAAATGGAAATACTGCGAGAGGTGCAGGGAAAGGAGGCGGTAAGACCACTCAGCATCCGCAATCAAGTGCTACTCCCAATAAGGTACAAGAAAAAGGTGCGGAAGAAACTTCTGGGACAAAAATTGTCACGAGAACATCCACAGAACAAGGAAATAAAAATGTCGACGATTCTACCGAGGAGACCACTACCACGACCACAACACAGGCACCAACCACGACGACCACGAGTACAACACAGGCACCAATTACTACGACTACAGAGGCGCCAGCTGTGTCGACCACCCGCGCACCGTCAAGTCTTCGCGAAATGGACGGCAGCCTCAGCAGCTCTGCGTGGGTGTGTGCCCCGCTGCTGCTCGCCGCATCCGCGCTGGCGTACACCGCTCTGGGCTGAAGAGGTGTGTGCGGGCTGTGCGTGCCAGCACTCAACCGCGGGGATTTGTGCGCGTGTGTTGTTCACTGTACTAAAATAAGAGAAAATAATGATCTTGTTTTGCTTCACTTGCTTCTGCTGCCGTGCTGTGTGCTCCGCGTTGTGCCCCGCATCCGCCACGTTGAACGCATCGCGGACACACTCATATGCATGCGCACTGGAGCCCTGGGTTTGTTTTTCTTTTTTAATTTCTTTTTAATTATTGTTTTTTATTGCTTTTTAAACTTGTGGTTTGCGGTGCGGTGTGCGAGCTCTGCAGTCGTACTGATTCCATGTGTCTCGTGGTGTGTGCGCTGCTGCTGGGGTGCTGCCACTTGTTGCTGTGCGGTGGCTGTGCGTGGTGTAGCGGCTGTCTCTATCTTTTTGCTTTCCCTCTCTGTTGACGGGGAGTTACTTTTGCTGAAGGCTGCACGCAAGTGACAGGAGTGGTGGCGATGATGACTGGCCGTGTGCTGCTGGTGTGTGCCCTCTGCGTGCTGTGGTGGCGATAGCGGTACGGGTGAGTATTAGCTCTTGCGGTGGCGTGCTCAGCTGCGGAGGGAGTGCGCGATGGATGGCAGCAGAAGTACAGGAGGCAGGGCGAATGCGTCCGCCGTGGAGGAATGCGTGCGTAATTGGATGGCCGTCGTCCCTGGAGGCGCCAAGGGATTGCCGTTGCTGCTGACACCGCTGAGGATAGGGTGTATGCTGCAATCCAATGAACACTCAACGAGATGCGTCACCAGCCGCGTAGATCGCCTGCCGTTAGAACTAGGAGAAGACAAGGCGGCGCGCCACCAGCGGCACCGGCAGTATGTGGAGGATCAGCGGGATGGCGTTATTTGCCGCTCGAAATGAAAACGAATGTGTCGGAGTCACACGACGCATTGAGTGGTGTTGGACAGCGGGAGGAGTCAACTGTGAATGGTTCAGAAGGCAAGGCTCGGATGCTGATGGCTCCTGCCACGGTGGGGCGCCTGGAACTCGTGCCCCAAAGGGAGCGAGCATTGCCCTCTTCGGATGGCAGTCGCGCCACCGGCAGTCGGGAAAACGAATCCGCTCAGGATGAAAAGTTGAAAGTCGCTGAGTCATCGGGGGCGGTGGGACAGAGGGAGGAGCCCAGCCCCCAACACAGCCTGCCATTGGGGGGCGAAGAGGATCACAACCAACAAAGCCAGCCGCAGTACCGGGCGAGCAAATAAGACAAACAGCAGGGACAGGAACCGCCGCAAGGGGCAGAAGGGTCTGACAGCCGACATGAAGTTTCATGGCCAGAGAATGGCGAATGTAGCGCCAAAACACGATGTGGGCTCAAACACAACTTCTGCACAAGTACCGGGTGATGCACCACAAGAAGAATCGGGAGGAGAAGTTGCGGTAGAAGCAGCTGGTGGAGATGAGGCAGAAAGGAAGGAAGTTGCAGCACACCAAGACACCGTGCAGCATGCACCATCTCCCATTTATGAGAGGCCATCGCAGTCATCGTCCTTTTCAAATGGCGGCTTTGCTGCATTAGATGGAAAGCTTCCAACTTCCAGC